TTAGCAAAAACTGACAACGATTCTTTTTCTTTATACATTTGTGTAAGATATTATAGCGGGTGGACCACGTAAAATTATTTTCTCTAGCTATGTGCGAGAAAATTTTTCGCGTGATTTAAATGGCTTCGAAGGGTGAATAAGGCGGGAGAAAAATTTGTTTGATGGAAAAAATGAGAAACAAAGGAAGTTTCACGTTTGATTTGAAATTTCAGAGTTCAATACGGTAGAAAAAATATATATATATTCGTATAAAAAAACAGGAGTGATCTTGAAAAAAGCCAGAAAGGAATAGAGTTTATAAAAAAATTTGTCTCCCATCTTATTCACCCTTCGAAGCCATTTAAATTACTGTAAACAATTTGTCACGCCACCATAGATAGAGAATGAAGTGATTTGAATAAAAAATAACGATTCGAAAGATATACGATAAGCCTAAATGTAACGTAAAGACCATTACAACGATTGCAAATAAAGATAAGAAAGATTTCCTTCTATTTTCGGCTGCAGCCGGTTACGCACGAGCCCTACGGCTTTTGCACAATTCAGCGAATGTTCGGAACAAGAACGAACGATCGATGGGAATGTTCTGTTTGCTGTAACAAACGACTCAATTTCGATGCTGGAGAGGAACGTTTAAGAAACTTACGTAAAATGTAAGGTCTTATTTAGAGGAAGTTCAGCTTTAAGAATCTCGCTGCCAAACTTCCTTCGAGGACAAAGATCTCTCCCCCCTATCTCGAACAGCCATTTAATTAGGACCGCTTTTATTTCTCCCAGATCTTTTGTCTACCACTGACTTTTCTTCCCGTTGCTAAATCCGTCTGAAACGGCATAATGTGGGAAACGATCTCCAACTTTTTAATCTCCTACTAGTCACCACCTTATGCTCGATTCAAGCTGAAAGTTTCTCGTTTAAACGGTGCACGGAGATATTCTTTTTTCCTCTTCTTTTGCCGCGGTTGTCGAACATCTCTCGAATTGCTATTGAATCGAATATAAATACACCGATGTTCATAAATAGTAAGACACCTGTTGTATTCGTATTAGTATTGTATGATTTAAATTAGACTTGTTCGCTAAAGTTAGTACCAGTAAAAGTATACAGTGTTCACGCTCTTAGTTTCCAGCGTTCTACTCGAAAATGGTAAGAAAATAAACTAGAAAAATAAAAGAATAATAAATAAATAAATAAAAAAATTAAGTAAAATTTGAAAATACTACAGGATAAAATTTCATTACTTTTCATAAGCAATACGATGGCTAGAGTAGATTTCTAAAATTTTCAATAGTTTTCGACGATACCAAGTTTACCCAATACCGATACAAACTTCTCAACTAAAATGACGAAAATCGAACGAATCGAAGAAACCGTAGCTACACACGAGACTGCTATAAATTATGCACAGCCTCTTCCTCAAACCGCAGATGGCACACTTACTCGTACACGACCGCAAACTTCTCCGCGCCCGAAACGGAAGATCCTCCTAACGAAAAAGTTCGCATCAAACCGAGATATTCGACTCCACCTTCGTGGCTCTCTCGAGACGTAAATTTAAGTCATGATCGCCCCTAACGTCCGGAAGAACCACGGGGTCCGCGAATATGTTCCTACTCAAGCTAACATTCGAGAGTGTCTCACGCCGTCGCGACGTCTGCTCCGCTCTCTGTTCCATCTTTTTCTCGTCTTTGTCCACCGAGGGTGGGCCTCGAATTAATAAAATCCCACGGACAAACCAACCCTACTGTACAGCATCGCGGAGAGCGGCGTCTCTCGAGCGTGAAAAATGGCCGAAAATCTGATATTCCGGATTAAAAACATTGAAATTCAAAACCCGTCCCTCTCGCGGTCGTCGACGTAGCGAAGGGGGAGGGTCGAGAAGTCGTTAAGGGTCAGTTTCAGCCAGACTGCGGGCTGAACCGATCCCCATTCGCCTCTAGCAGCCTTTTCGAAACCCCTAGTAGCAAGCCGAGGATCGTTCTCGGGGATATTATTTTTAAGCCCCAACGTGGCCGCAATTTGACACAGCCGCGCCGTTTGAATTCCGAATTCAATCGACGGACAACGGATTCCTATCCCGATTTCGCGAAATTAAGGGTAGCCCCGAGAATTGATAGCCCGGCCGTACCTCGCCTATACGTGCGGTTCGACACACGTGTTCCACGCGGTTTGGTATTGGTATTGTCCCTCGATTTTTGACACGTGATTTTTGCCCACCGTATACCATATATCATCGAGGTTCACGGTGATCTTCTGGACTATTTGACGCGGTCGCAACTTATCGCGCGCGTAATCGACGGAAGCTACGTTGTCCAAGGGTGAAAAGCTTTCTACGTCTTTGTCCCTGTTCCGTGGAAAATTTATGTCGTTGATAGATTTTTGATAGCTTTATACTGACGGAATATCCTTGTCGAATACTCTTGCCTTGTAACGAGTGAGACTTGCAGCGCAGATTATGGCGATGGTACGATCAAATCAGCGGTAAAGCTTTATTTTTGGTCCCGTTAGGTGTAGAAATTAATTTTTTCCAATTTTCGGGTATACGTTGTTTAAAAATTTTGTCGTTCCATCGCGATAGAAACTCGGTGGCTCTGAATCAGATCGACAAGAACTCATTTCTACTCCTAATACCTTTCAATTCACTTCATAAGCTTGAGGATTATCAAACGTACAACGAACAGAAACACTATTCAACTTGTTCTAGTTCTTTTATAAAACAATTCCAGTTCAACACTACTGAACACTCACACCAGCGGTGAAACCACGAAATCCTTCGAAATTCCGAGTCAAAAACAAACTATCTAATTACTTCCATCCACGTTCGCCTGTTACAGAACCAAGATGGCTCCAATGCTCTCAGTGCTCCAGAAGACTATCCTCCGCCTGGGAGTTGCTGCAGCACGTGCAGAGCGTGCACGGCGCCCGACTCTACACCACCCCTTCGTCGTCGACGAACTCGTCGAACACGCCAGCACCGAGTCCACCTACGCCCACGCCGACCCATACGCACCACCTGAGTCCGCCTAATCACCTGAACCTGAGCAGCAAATCCACCGGCAGCTCGTCCGCGGCGAATTCCTCCGGCGGCACGAATTCCAGCGGAAGCAGCGGCGGACGGCAACAACTTCAATCGTCCGCCTCGTTGGTCGGCGATCCGCTACACAGTTTTCTAAGGCTACCTCAACACCTCGAACGAAGCTTTCCACCCATGTTCAGGACGGACTTCATGACCCTGAGTCCGTTGGGTTACAGAGGTCTCCAGGAGTTGCAAACCGCGACCAGAAATCTACAGAACCTGGGAGATCCTCTTCGAGGTATGGACGGCTTGAATCTCGGTGATCCCCTGGTTCGTAGTTCGTTAGACTCGTTGAACAATGCCCGCAACCTGGTGAACTTAGCCGAGTTGTCGCACGGTCGTGGGCTCGCCGGTCAGGCGCATCCTCCTCCACTCGAGGCCAATCTGGATTTTTACTCGGCGCGCCTAAGGAGCCTCGCTAATCCGTCCTTAGGCGCGGCTCCACCTAGTAGCGGTAATCCAACGACTAATTCCAATCCCCCCGCCCCGGTACCGCCTGTACCAGTACCGAGCACCGTCCAGCAACAGCAACAGCAGCAGCAGCAGCAACAACAGCAGCCTGTCCAGAATCACAGTCAACCCGTCGAGCCTCCCAGTCCCGCGTCGAACAACGCCACGATCCACACGCACAGCAATCATCAGAAGGAAAATTCGCCGACCTGCTATAGTCAAAGCCCGGTTGGTCACCACAACAATAACAACTCCACCGACAGCGAGAAAACTAGTCCGCCGGTCGCGTCTACGCCGATCATCGCTGACTCCGCGTCGGAGACGATCTACTCGTGCGAGGTGTGCGACAAGAAGTTCCGTTTCCAGTCGAATCTCATCGTGCACCGTAGAAGTCATCAAGACAAGGAGAGTCAGTATCAGCAGGACGCCACGCAGGATGGACAGATAACGCCGACTAGGTGCGAAGTCTGCGAAATGGAGGTCGCCAGTTTCGCAGAGTTAAGGAAACACATGAGAAAAGAGCACCAGGAGAGCATGAACGCCGCGAGTCCTCAGGGTAGCGTCGAGACAGTTCCCGACGACGGTTCCAGCTGCGACGAGAACATGGACCTCGACGAAGCGGACGAGAACGATCAGAAGGGCGACAGAGAGGACACCGAGGAGAACACACCCGAGGATCTGAGCACCACTCAAGGTCAGAGCGGTGAAGAGAGCGGCGGTCGCGTAGAACAGAAACCAGCGAGCCTGGTCGGCGATCTGATGGAGAAATTCGGCTTGAGCAACATAGCGCAGTACTCGGAGGCCTACAGGCAAGCTCTGCAGGAGAACCACCGAGGCGGTTTCATCAAGACGGAACCTCCGTCGAACCTAACCAACTCTCTGAACAATAACAAAGAGAAAGACAGCGCTCTGTCGCCCACGAACTTCAATTCCTCGACCACGCCTAACATATTCTCCGGTCAGAGTTTTCCCAGGTCCTCGGGACCGGACTTCGGCGGTCTCTGGCTACCCAGTCACCATTATCTCGAGAACAACGAATTCCGCAAGGCTACCAAGGCCACCGCTTCCAGCCTCGCGCTCCAAGGCCTGCCCAGTCCCCTGTTGAAGAAAGAACGCAGCGGGAGGAACGACACGTGCGAGTATTGCGGCAAGGTGTTCAAGAATTGCTCGAATCTGACGGTGCACAGGCGGTCTCACACAGGTGAGAAACCGTACAAGTGCGAGTTGTGCTCGTACGCTTGCGCGCAGAGCTCGAAGCTGACGAGGCACATGAAGACGCACGGTCGACACGGCAAGGACACGTACAAGTGTCGTTTCTGCGAGATGCCGTTCTCCGTACCTAGCACACTGGAGAAACACATGCGGAAATGCGTGGTTGTGGTCCAACAGGGCCAGAAATTGGGCATGCCGTATCCCGGCAGCCAAGACGAGGACTCCTCTTTGAGTACCAAGGATACTTGATCTTGGAACGGAAGCCTACCGCCGATCCCGCCACTGTGGCCACACAGGCCACCCTACCCGGTGTACTGAAGAGGTGATCTTCTTCCACGGGAGAGAAGCAGAGGACAGAGTAGGTGTTCGGGAACGATAAACCCTTTATTAACGTATGCCGTGTTTTTGCGTGAAGCGTTGAAACGTAACGAAAGACACACGCATGTCGCGTGACGTCGTTGAAGATCTCCCGTTTTGGGAGATCCCCGCCTGGTGAAATGTCCAAGATCGCCTCTCGGGATTAGGAGAGGCGGTAGGTTTGGTCCACGACAGTAACCAGAGCTTACAATCGAACGAGACCTGGAAACGGTCCAAATGAAAGAAGAAACAACGACGAGAGTATAGACGTTGTTTTGAAGAAACAACGTGGAGAAACTGGCCCTGTTCGAGGGGTTGAAAGTTGAACCTGCCACGACGGAGAGGACGAGAACCATTGATATCGAAAGACTGAATGAAAATGGAGAATGGTTGGAGCGTGGAGGAGCAACGGGTGAGAGATATAGGAGGGAAGGTGAGCGGGCAGATTATTCCGCTCGGCGAATTTTAATTCAACTAGAGAAACGAACGAATGGTTACCACTTTTGCGAGTCTCAGCACAGCTATTTAAAAGTATATCCTTATAAATAGTTATAAATAAAGACATTATAAATATGAATATACATGAAAATATATATATATACATATATACATATAAAGAGTATAAATAAATGAATAAATAAATAAATATATATATGAAATTATATATATGAAAAAATGGCGAGATACAAAAAACGGAGAATTATACAGAATATAAATATTATACATAGGCTAATGAACATAGTGACTTTATTATCGCATTTGAAGATTATTTATTTAATAACGATAGAGAATATTATACATACTGTATAACGTAATATATGTATATATGTGTATGGAGGGAACCCTGACGAGAGAGAGCGCGCGTGTATATGTATGTACATTACGTTATATGATATGAAGAACCTGCAAACCACTCTGTACGTATAATGTTAGGGAGAAAAATCGCGGAAGAAGAAGAAGGAGGAAGAAGAAAAAGAAGAAGTGCAGCGAAAACGTGGAGAGACAGAGGTAGATGAGGAGGACAGGGAAGCTGAAAAATCTTTTTGTACATTGTACAGGTGTCGATCGATGCCTGGTGTCCTTCTTTCTTTTTTTTTTTTTTTGTTTGCTAAGAAAAGGAGAAAAGCGGGGAAGATAAAAAAAAAAGAGTAATTACGACGAAATCGTTCTTTTCTCGAGGAGAAGAGATAAAGAGAGTTGCACATGCGCGAGTCGAACGATAATCCTCTGTGTGTATATACGCGTGAAACATCGATATTTGAAGCCTCATCCCCTTTTAAAGAAGAAGAAAAAAAAAAAAAAGAAAAGAAACCCCAACGTGTTACGTATCGATGCTTAAGATACAAGTAAGCACTTGATGTACGATTAATGGTGTACAGCGGAAACCGGAAACGCGCGCAGCGTTTCCATAGGTCATTAAGCTCTAGCCTCGATCCTATGTAAAAGTGTATCATAGTACTTTTTATTGTCTTTATTATGTATTATCTATTATTATTATTACCATTTCTATTATTGCTTATTATTACTACTATTATCGCTATTGTCATTATTATCATTATTATTGACTTTATTATTATTATTATTATTCAATGCCACTATTATTGGGCGATTACAGCGACTGTAAATCGCCGTCTTCATTATTTTATCCCGCTATTATTAAATTATTATTGAGAAGATGTTTTTTAAATGGTTAAGAAGATGCCAAAGTTGTTTAGGTTTATCGGCGCTATATATATATACACACACACATATATATTACAAACGTCGCGCGAGGTGTCCGTCGAGTTTTTTCCCCCCGGAGAACTTTCGTTGTTTATTTCTTTTTTTTTTTTTTTGTCATTTTGTCGTTTTTTCGTTTCTAAAGGAAGATAAGAGAACAGCAGAATTATCGAGAGGTACGAAAGCTGACCACAGAATGTACTTGCCCGCTCGCGTTCGCGGAAAAACGACGAGAGAAAAAAAATGAAAGAACGATGGAAACGTCGATGATTCTGTGTACGTATCGCTGACCGATCGAGGAAGGATTCTGTGGTTGGACTGGAGTTGATAGCGCTCGCACGCTCGCTGATAAGAGTCCGCTCGCGCGGGTGTGCGCGCAGGTCGTTCGAAAATGTTCGATGGCTACTTCGCGGTCGCGAGAACATTATTATAGCGCGTTTGTTTGTTGGTTATATTTATTATCGTCGCGCGGCTGATCGGGTAGATCCGCGCGCGCGGCTTTCGCAGGATCGAGATCTTTGGGATCCGTTGATCCTGCGAAAATCGCCGCGTCGAGAAGAAGAAGAAAAACACGAGACGCGCCTGAATCACACGAGTTGGTTGATCGATCCTTCTTTTTTTTTTTTTTATCACTTTTCTTTCTTTTTTCCCTCCGTTCGTTTCCGTTTTGGAAGAAGCCGAAGACTGAAGTATGAATACTGTGTACTCGCGAGAACGACGCGACCGGCTTCGAATATTTCCTTTTTTCTTTTTTTTTTTCTTTGCGTTCCATTACAATGTGCATAGTTTCTGTTTTATTTCACACCCTTCTGTTTCTTTCCTTTCCCACCGCTCGTTTTTCTCTCATTTTTGTTTTTCCTACGAAACTCCTCGTTGTAAACGTTTTCGAAGGGGACTGTTCCTAAATAAAAAAAAAATTGATATAGGCAATAAGGTAAAAGAGTAACTGAAGTGACAGAGTGTAAGTTTCCCCGGATGTGTGTGTTGTCGTCGATTTTTCGCGTGTATGGGCCTGTTGAGGGTGTATGCGAAGGGAGTTAAAAAAATGGTACAGACGGGACGTTTCACGATTTTCCGTGCGTACCCGGTGTGTAATGTCTGTGTACGCGTGTGCGAGAGTGCGTGTGTAAGAATGAGTAACGAGTAATTAAAAGAAGGGGTAAAATGGAGAAGAGGAGAACTCATATCAAGATAGTTGTCTCGGTGTTAGACGCGTACGGCCCTAGGTAAAAGGCAAAAAAAAAAAAAAAATGAAAATCCCGTTATCTAGTTAAAGGAAAAAAAAGTTTGTTAGATTGATTCTGAAATACGTACATGCCAGGCTCCGTTTATACGATATATTGTAAATATATGGCACTGCCCGTAGCAAAAGAAGAAAGAAAAAGAAGACAAGGGAGACGAATACAGGGAGAGGTTGGAGAACCGGGCGAAGAATAATAATAAAAGAAAAGAAAGGCAGACGAGTATGATCGTCGGCGTTCGAACGTGAGAAAATAAATAAAATCATCATACTAATTAATTGCATCAATCTCTTTTTCAATGCGTACACGAGAAAAACGTGGTTTTATTCATCGTTATCATGCGCCCAATTTCGCTGGCGCGCGCGCTACGCTAATAGCGAAAGTATAAAAGAGAAACACGAGGGAACGATTAGCAAGATTGGGGGGCGGGCGGGTCTTTCATCCTTCTCGAGAGCTTTCGAACACGTTTTAATCCGCGGTTAAACGCAACGCAGAGACCGAGATAGAGAGAGAGAGAGAAAGAGAGAGCTAGAAAATGGGAAAACAATTGTAACTGCGAGTATGTTGTAGCGTATGAAACTCGTTCGCGTAATATCAATTAAACGAAACTAGAAATCCGCGATACGGTGCCACGAAAACACACGCGCGCCTTGCTTCCAAAAAAATGTTTCTCTCGTCTTTCTTATTCGAATTCATCCCACATAGGACCAAGTTCCCTGCCTCACGAAGCGAACATAGAAGACGAAAAAAAAAAAAAAAAAAGATAAAGAATCTCAATCACACACGCAAATCTGGCGGCGGGCGGATTCGACAAACGGGACGCGGCGAGAACGAACGCAAGCGTAGAAATCTCGCGATTTTTCCCGGTGACGAAGACAGACGAAGCAGGAAGTCTCTTTAACTCGCGAGTTCACGGGTGAAACGTATCGTTTTTCCCGAAGTAACAGGTCTCTCGTCGAGTCCCGGTCAGTCGATTTCTAACGTTTCTACACAGGGTAAACCACGTGAAATGGTAAACGATAATCCCAAAGGAAATAATAATAAAAAAAAAATAATAATAATAAACGAAGAGCAGAACGTCGGAAGCATAGTGAATTGAAGTATCTAGACAGTTAAATAAAAAAATAAATAAAGGTAAATAATTAAAGAAAAAAAAAAAAGAAGACAAGCGAAGTATTTCCTAATAATATAGTAAGCGACAGGAAGGAATAAACGAGCCACAATGCAAAGGATGAACGCGGCCGGAAACGACAAAACGATGGCGAAACCGGGAAAAAAAAAGATGTCGGTAGCAGGGAAATTGGATTTTTAGCGAGAAATCTTCTGATCCAGGGTAAAAAAAAAAAAGGAAAATAATCCGAGGCTCGGTTTCTTAGACACAGTTGCGAACTGGGTTTTCGACCTGGCACTCTTTCGAGCACTTTTAATGAACAAAAAGAAAAGAAAAAAGAGAAAAATAAGAGATGGAAAAAACCGAGGATCGACATTAAGGCAATACGAGAAAGCAAGGCGTCTTCGGGCAAAGTCTGGTCAAAGCTCGCGACACACCCTTTGACCAGCTTTTCCACGGGGAGGTCCGTAATTATAAACATAGCAGATACGGTGTATGTCTTGTGCGATTCAAATAAACCACATTGTTTTTAAATAACCCGTGTCGTATGAATTTCATCAAAGCACGTCTCCTTCGTCATCCTGATTCCCCTCCCTGAAAAGGAACAATACTACGCTCTCCCGTCGCTAATGACCTACCTGTCGATGCGAATCCTTCTATTAAAGAAGGAAATAGGAGAAGAAGAAGAATAATCCAAATTCGTAGAAATTTCACGAACAGTCGTCGTTCTCTCGATTGGAAGAACGAATTGTTACAGCGAGGATAATTCATTCACCGCGTTAATTGATCGTTCGATTCAAAGAAGACAATCCGTCTCACGCCAAATCTCGATACACCTCCGCCGGCTATAGAAAGCTCGTTACGTAAATTGTTTTACTCGTCCCGAGCCGTTACTATTGGACGCTTATTACGTTTATTGCATAATGCGTTTCGCAACGAGGCTCTCGCGTGTGCGAAACCGCCGCGCCGCGCGGCGTCGCGTGAACATCGGCTCGGGAATCAGATAATCGAGCTATTATTCGGGCCTTTTTTTTCTTCCAATCGATTCCTTCGGACAAACCTGAAATTCACGATTGCCGGAGAAACGAGGAGGGCTTGTTGCACCACGCCATCTTACGTTGGACACAGGTATCGGGGAGCGAGGCTCAGGTAAGAATTACTATGGCAGAATGCTATGGTGTACGTGTGGCTGCAGTTGCTAGGGGTGATCATGGTTACTATGCGTGTCGGAGATATGTAGGTTTGCACGTAAAATGGGGAAATGATTGTGGAACGTCGAGATTTTTCATGAAGACAGTTGAAAAAAGTTTTATTGGAACGAATATTTATGACAATGGTAATTGAACATTCTTTGATGGATAAAGTGTTTATTTTTAAGTTACCTCTCAGTTTGTCGATAAAGTGTAAAAAG